TTTATGGTGCTGTCAGAGCAGTATCCATGGGGAGGGTGGCCACACTTCAGGAGGTGAATTTTCGGGACGTTTGCAAGGAGTCAAGTGGGAAAGAGACTAGAGGTGGATCTGCCTGCTCAGAACTGGGCTTTCCCTGTTTGTGAAACTGGGGTGAACAGGAAAAGGATCAGCTTATTTGGGAAGTACCACCAGCTTCCTATAAGGTCCCCATTCCTCACAGGGTGCAAGCCCTGTGTAGATAAACGCAAATAAAGTGTTTCTTGCTTTGTGCAGGGAGAGGGAGAAATACCTGGGTATCAACCACGTTGAACACACTCACTCTTACACTGGCTGTTTCTGCAGGGCACTGCAGGAGCTGTCAGGACACTCCAGTGCCAGGCAGACATCAAGGATCTCCCCCAGGACTGTCTCCTGGGCCAGTGCTTGGGTTCCATCCAGTACCTGGGTGTCCCTAAGAGCACCACTCACACTGCTGATGGGGCACAGAGCACTCACAGGACACAAATCACTCTTGAGCTGGGACAGGGAGCAGTAGAGTGGCCTGAATGAAGCCTCTTGGCACGGGCTCAGTCTGAACAGCCCAAAATGTAAGTGGTGTGTGGGATGTGCAGGTGACCCTGGAGCTGCTGCTATGCTGGGGGGTCCAGGGAAATCCCTGCAGCCTCAAGGCTCATCGTGGACAGCCTAAGCACAGGGAAGAGGTTTCATGGGATTCTCAGATAGTGCTTGAATTTGATCCAAAACCATGGCTTCTCTGGTATCTTGTCCAGTCCTCTCTTGGGTGGGTGGTTGACAGCAGAATGAATCACCTAAATCTCAGGTGAGATGAGTAGGAAAAGATTTTGTATATATATATATACATATATATATATATATATATATATATACACACACACACACATAGGTATCTCAAAAATATGATCAGAATATATACTTAAAAAGAAATTATATTACCATATAAATATGCTAAAAACGGGGGGAGAGAGATTACTGTCAGTATGACCAAACAGGCCAGAAAGCATGGTTTGACATATTAAAGAAACTTCCTTAGAACGATTGTTTACTGGTGTTTGTTGAAACTTGGTAAATCCAGCTTGCCTTCAGGAGCTTTGGAGCAGATTTCAAAGTACTGGATTGATTGATTAAAGAAAATTTGTTTGGAAAAACTCTGCTTAAAAAAAATGTGCTAAGATTCAGTGCTACCTGCTCTTGTTTTAGAGAATGGGATTTGTAATTTGGATGTGAGATGAGTGAGATTCCTAGGATTTGAAATGAAATATGGGTTTGAACTGAAGTCTGTAAACATTCTTGAAAACAACAGAAAGGCAAGTTCTCTCTATAGTTCAGAGTAGTAATTTGGGAATACATGAGGTCTTCTGAAACATGGAGAGTAACATTTAAGATCTCTTCTATGAAGTTGCTTTTCATTCTTGCTCAGCTGCTTCACTCAGACTTGCAATTATGTATGGATATTGATTTTCTAGTTCTTTAATTACTGTTTTGAACCCACCAGAAGTTAAATGGATGGTGTGCCATATGCTAAACTCTCCATACAGGAAGAGTTTTCAAAAAATTATGTCTTAACTATCTAAAAACGCTATAAATGTATCTTGGTGATGCTCAGATCTGGAACATTCCCATTATGGATACTTTATTTTTTACATCCAATATCAGATGTTAGCAGCATAAAGAGTCCTGGTGACGGAGGAAGTGGTGGGAGCACTTGTGTGATGTGCAGTCTAATTCTTTTGGTTTGGAGTTGGGTGAGTTCACCATGTTTTCGTCAATGGAAATGCTGCTGCAAGGCTTGAGTTGTAAGTTCTCATTAAGCTAATTGCATCTCCCCATCTTTACAATGTAGGAATGTCATTTCCACGGCACAGTTAGAGGGATTACTGTTTATTTCCTGGTAATATTCTGATAAATGCCTGACTTGAGCCACTTAAATGGTTATTTTGTGTGGAATTGAGTAGCTGCTTGTGGGATGTAGGAATGCCTTGTCCAATTAGAGCAGGAACTTCAGGCAAAGTGCACCAGGTTAGCAACATGAGTCAGACAGTAACCTTTTTTGTTTGTTAATGGAGTGAATGTATCATCAGGGTACAGATGAATGTGTGCTCTAATTGTCTTGGCAGGGAGGGGGGAGCTCTGGCCTGTGTCATGTCTTTAACAGAAATTACTGCAGCATTGTCATAAATTGATTGGAAATATTTTTTCCTCACATTACTCATGGGATGTCAACAAGTATGCAAATGTGAAAATTCAGCATATGTCTGCTTGCTGCTTCTGCACGGTTTCTCACACCAGTTTAATGAGTAAAAACTGTCTTTTCAAAATGTCACTTCAAACTCAAGTCTTTTTGGTGTTGAAGACCACCTCACTAATACTTTATTAGTGTTGTGCCAGGATGTGAAATAGTTTATTAATTTGTTCATTTTACACACTTGAACTGTAGCCTGGTTTTTGTCTTATTCTGTTCCTCGCCTGTGGTTACAGTTTGTATATTTGGTATTCCTCCGTGTTGCGCCTTTTGGGGCGTCTTTCCCCAGAGCATCAGTTTCCCATTGATCCGTGGGCTATGACACGGTGAAACATTAGTATCTCTGTTTTGATCTCTGCAGCGATCGCATTTATTTCCGAATGAAGCCATAACATTGTTACATTCTGTAAAGACTTCCTGACAGCACAATAGCAAGGGCTGGGGCAGCCATGCAGGCCCAGTGACCCCCATGGGGTTATGCTGTGCCGTGCTCCTGTCCCACATCTGTTGGTGGGAGGCTGTCCCAGCTGTCCTGGCACAACCCTTGGCAGCCTGGGGTTTACCACAGCTGGATCAACCTGGGAGCCTAAAGCCTGGCTATTCTTTTACTGAAATCTGCCACATTTACCCTCCACACCCTCATTAAACACCATTTCATCACTGCGTGTTTGTTTAGCCCAAGAGGTAACAGCACTTGCACAGAGCTGGAGATGTTAACAGTTAGCATCGTGCTTAATTAGCACATTCTGTGTGCTTAGGTCAAAAGTTTTAGGGCAGTCTTTTTGTTGCAGTGTTGAAATACGTTGTGTTTTTGGAGCAGGGACAGTGGGGACAGGCAGGGATGCTGTAGCGTTCTGCAAGTACCCCAGAGTCCTGAGAGGAGGCACAAACCTCTGTGGGCGTTGAAGTCTTGTGCTGTCAGTGTGGGCATCAAGGCGCCCTGTCTGCCAAAGCTTTGGGCCGATGGCAGACCCGAGGGGGTGCTGAAATCCCCCGCAGCAAACCCGGGGTTTGTGCTGCTTCGCTTTCCTTCACGGGGCAGGAAGGATGTGATCACACAAACCCTTTTATGTGGGCTGCAGCCCTCGTGTTTGGATAAGAACAAAAAAGGGACTCTCATAAGACAAATGAGGTGCTTTGAAACATTACTGGGTATTCAGGATGTATTGGCTGTGGCAGAAAAGCGTTTCTTCTCTGTATTTTACATCTGTCTTGTATTTAGTCTACAACATTTATTGCTTAAAATTTGCATGGGAGTTGAACTGGGAAGAATTAAGTCAACTCTTAAAAGATCCTCTCTCCCCACAGTACTTAGAGAGTTCAAACTAAAACTAGTCACATGTTTGAATTATATATATTTAATTTCAGAAAAATAGTATATCTTTGCTTTTGTTGGACAGAGAGCAAAGTAATAAGTGTATGTATTGCATGTACAAAGTAAAAACGAGTAATGAAAATTGTTTTTGGGGAAGGTGTCTCTGAGATTTTAAAATTTCACACTTGATAGGTCACTGCAATAATTACAGCTCCATCAGAGCCATGGTGACAGTGATCACACAGAACATGACATGGGGTTTTGAACAGGAAGACAGATCCTCTCCCTCTCTTCTTTGTGTAGTTATCTACAGGTTTTTGAAAATCAGTAATAAGAATGTTTCCAATAGGAATAGCTGTGTATCACTTGGTGCATTCAAATACATTTTACTTCTTAGAAACAGCGCAGATAGCGAATACAAAATACCTCCTTCTCCTTCTCCTTCTCCTTCTCCTTCTCCTTCTCCTTCTCCTTCTCCTTCTCCTTCTCCTTCTCCTTCTCCTTCTCCTTCTCCTTC